TTTTGTCTTTAATTAATAACCTTTATAAATTTATAATTATTTATATTTTGTATTAAAAAATAACAACTAATTAGTCAAATGTCAATTAACCTTTGGTTACTTCTATCATATTCATATACGACTAAAGCTATATTAACTCGCTTCTACATTCGATACTTCAAAACAACATATTGTTAAAGACTAAATATAATATGTGATGTATTAGTAGATTTTTTTTATTTGATAAAAGTTTAGTAAGTTTTTTTTTCTTTTAGTTTAAGATTTATTTTTACATGCGAAAATTTATTCGGTCTAATAGGTTATATAAACCGAACCGAATAAACCGTAACCGAATTAAGCAAAACCGATTAAACCGAACCTTATTTGGTTTGGTTATTGTTAGTTTTAAGATATAAAAAAAACTGATAAAACTGAAAAACCAATAAAAACGAACCGATTAAACAGAAACCGAAAAAACCGACCAAATAATTCATCTAGAAAAGACACCATAACCGAACAACAATTTCTCAAAATGTTTTCGGATCTACAAAGTTCTTATGGAATCCATTACTAGGGCGAAATGAGCATATTGTCGAGATATTTTGAGGGAAGTTCACGATAACGAGGGAGAAAAAATAGCTTGAAAGTGACTTTATATATGTAGGGCCTTTCATCTTTTCTTTAGGAGTCGCGATTTTTTTTATGTTTTTTCGCTAAAATATAATATAATAATTTTCTTTCAATATGACCAAATATAAAACTTATAAAACAACTAAAAAATCTAAATCCCCAAAATATAATATTAAAAGTTTTAATGTTGTACTATTTACCACATAATAATTATGACATTAAATATGATATCCATTAACTACTAAAATAATCGATATTCTTGAATGCATTATTTACAATCTATTTATTTACCTTAAAAAACAGCTAAGCATGAGAAACGTTGGTTTGACTTTGACTTTACAGCATGGTCATATTCAAGCTCAAGGAGTGTGATTCGCGGACAAATAAGCATCGTAGCATAGATTGCCACGTGTATGAACGCTATAACCACATGGATAATGGAACCCACCTGTCAATTTTAGCATTTTGTAATTATATATATCCCACCTAGACCTACCCATCCAACCTCAATATCGTTATCATATGCATCTGTTCTCCACCGATAAAACAAATAAAACCCTGTGTACGGCCATCTGATTCCCTCACCCGACCTTCCCACAGATAAGATTAAAGATTATCCGGTGAACTCGGCATTAATTTCAAACATATTTTCATCGTTTTAGTAGATTCGGTTTTTGGATTTGGTAGGTCGCAATCGGATTGATTGATTGATTGCTTGATTTTTGGTTGAGTTGAGGATGATGTCAGAATCACACTCGATGAACGGTCAGAACTCCGGCGATGGTGGCTCCGGTGAGATCATGTTGTTCGGAGTCAGAGTCAAGGTTGATCCGATGAGGAAGAGTGTGAGTATGAACGATCTCTCACAGTACGTACGGATACAGCCTGCTACAACACATGGTTCGTCTAGCAATAGCAATAACAACTTTGATGGCTCCACCGCGGTTGCCGCCGATACCGGTTACGCCTCTGCTGATGATGCTGTCCGCAACCAATCCAATGGCGGACGAGAACGCAAACGAGGTTAGATCTCGATTTTTCAATCTCTCTAACATCTTCGATTTATCTATTGTTTATCCGTTTCTGCATTTTTTTCGCATTTGAATGAGTTTGCGTTTGTATTAGATTCTCCTTTTGTTAGCGGAGGATTACGATTTTGCATCTCTGATATTGGAAATTGATTGTTCTTGTTGCGAGCAATTTCAATATTTCATAATAACTGATTCTATTATAATTGAAAAAACAGGGGTTCCATGGACGGAGGAAGAACACAAGCTGTTTCTGTTAGGTCTGCAGAAGGTAGGGAAAGGGGACTGGAGGGGGATTTCAAGGAACTTTGTGAAGACACGTACACCTACTCAAGTCGCAAGCCATGCTCAGAAATATTTCCTCCGCCGGAGCAACCTCAACCGCCGGCGCCGGAGATCCAGTCTCTTTGATATCACTACTGATTCAGTGAGTCTCATCACATAATAGATCTGAATCTAATTCTGTAAATCATTAATTACTTGTGTCACTCCAACATATCAACTGTTTATAAAAGTAATCAATTGGTTTTGCGGATGATGATGATTAGGTTGCTGCTATCCCAGTGGAAGAACAGAAAGATGATGAAGGTAACAAGAGTCAGCAAATATCTCCTCTAAGTGGATTCCCAATGGCAGCTTTTTCACCTCCATCACCACTACCATTAATGGAGAACCAGATGAAAACTGAAGCTTTCTGTAATGGTGGTCAATTCAATCAATCAACAAGGACAACTGAAAAAAATTCATTGTCATTATCTCTCAACCTCTCTCTGTCTTATGATAACAATCGAATGGTGGATTCTTCCGCGTTCCAGGTCATCTCACCCTTCAACAATGGAGATCGTATGATCAGTGTTGGTTAAACATCTGCAAATGAAGTGAAATCTGCAGGTAGTTAGTTTTTTTTATTTTTGTTTATTTTAATCTAATACTTTATCATGTACAGACCAGGATTTCCTTAAATTATCATCATGTTTGTTATTGTTATCGTTGTTGTATGCATACTCATCACATCATCCATTATGCTATGCAAGTAATGTTGTGAAAAATCCACGCTTTGAATACAAATCCAAGAAATTAAAGCAACCGACATATAAAAAGGAAAGCGTATATTCTCTGATTCTAAAAATATATGAATGGCCAAATTTCGTTCTCGGCCATCAATTTAATTTGATGCGGTTGCCAAAAATAAAAATAAAATCCTAGTGATGATTTGGTTTTTGCATCCGTATGATTCAACTGAAGTCCATTCCTAGCAATTACTAGTTACTAGAGAATAGTTGTTTGTGGTGTGGAATCATGTGTTACTTTTCTTTGTTTTGGTTGGGTAATGAGATCATATAAATACTACCACTTAATAGAGGCAAATTAATAACATTATAATAGAGGCAAATTAATAACATTATAGTTTTAATATCATTACAGAAGATTACAAATTCTTTTAACCATATCATTACGTGAGTTCTTCAGCTCATTTTTTTTTTTTTTGAGATAGGAAACCTCATCTTTAATAGTAGTTGTAAACTCATCTTCAAAACTCAGATTCAATTTAATATGTTTTTCATCAATCCATTGCCAAAATTTGTATTTTTTATCTTGTTTCTTTGGTAACAAAAAACAAAATTTAAGCAGGTAAAAAAGAAGGTTAATTTGAAAAGAACAAAAAACCTATTTGTAGAAAAAAAATGGTCACTCATTTGTAGAAAAAAATGGTCATTCATACCAAATAATTAGGGAAGACTATCAGGGTGTTTTTTTTTCTTGGAAGTACAAATTCGAGTCGAGAGGAAGCAATTATAAAGAATCTCGTTGTCTGTTATGGAGATAGATGAAACCGAAGTCCAAGACATTTTTTTCTTGAAGAAAACTAGGACATCAATATTTTGACAAATTCGTAAATTATGTTACTGATATAAGTGAGAGACAAATTACATATGAAAACACCTCATTAATGATTGTCCTATGTTGGATGTCACATGAACAAAAACTAAAGTAATCGACAATAAGGAGTAAAAGACTTATTTTGCAACAAAAAACATTAAGGACTAAATATATATAAACTGAGAACTATATACCCTGTTAAGTCATTTTTCCGTCTTAACCTGAAATAACCAGTTATAAGGATTGAACATGTACGAAAACAACAAGGATCAATGACTTATTTTGTAAAAAAAAAAACAATAAAGACTAAATATACAAAAACTAAAATTGACCTTGATAAACTAATTTTGAAAATTAATCATAACTATTGGATGAGATTAGATCAAAAGTTGGATTTGTATGATGGGAATTAGAATATGAAATTATGAATGAATGAGGATGAGATCTGGGTGTATAGGGGTAGGGGTGTGTCCTGATTCAATGGTGGTAAGATGAGAGTGGTAGGACCATATAACTTTAAGTTAATGGTGGTTCTTGGGTGATTTTTTGTCTTGTGCCATTTTCATCTTTACGTGGGTGGTTGCTGATATTAGCATTATTCTTAGTAGTGTTTTAGATATTTAAGAAATAAGCAAAAATGTATTTTATTGACTTTTGTTATCACAATGCCTATGGAAAGTAAGTTTTGGTTTACTTTATTTTCAAAAGTTGAGGCTCAAATCTTATCTCTTTATCTTGTAACCAAGAACAGCTGGGACACCTACGAAGCCTTTTTTAACCAATGACTTCCCACTTGGAACAACTTCATTTATAAATAAATAAATAAAACACTTTACAGCTTTCACCCCTCAAAATTATAATTTCTCTCGTTTCTAGGCTAATTAGGCATCAGATTCATAATACTAACATTTATAAAAGTACACATTTATTTATCTTTGAAAAAATAAAACAGTAGAAGATTTAAAAAATGACCCAAAACACATATTTTGGGTTTACAATTTCAATTGATAACCTTGTGCCTTTGTGGCTAGCCTAAAGTCTAAACACACGTTTTACACGACTTGCAATGATTTGCATTATACATAGTTTTTGGTTTTACCTAATAATGGTAAAGTTAAATTTCATGTTGCTCTATCTTTTTAATGATATTCTTACCATCATTTTCACTAGTTTGACTAAAAAAATATACAAGATGAGTAACAATTTATAAAATCAAAGAAAAGCCAAGTACCAAAAAGAAAGTAAAGTCCATAGAATCTTGAAATCCACAAGAAAGGGAATTCCACCAGATTAAAAGCGACCAAGTTTTGAGTTGTTCAACCACTCCTCGTACTATTTGTTTTAATTTCTAGGCAACTTCACATGGAGATGGAGAACAAACATATCTTAACAAGATTTGACTGGATTGGGGAGTAAGTAAATTGATTAATTAATTGTTTTTGTTGAATTACACTTATGAATTATGTATTTAAGTACAAGCATGTGGGACAACTTTGATTAAAAGATAAGTCTAAAGATAAAAGATTCCATTTTGGCATCAATCCACATGATGAAACGAATACATGACACTTGTTTCTTCATTTTCATAATGAGAAGGGGGCAAATCGACAAATTTACATATCTTGAGGGGTTGGTTGGTTAGGAGGAGATGAAACTGAAAGCCAAGGGTTAGGTGCCACGTAGGTGTAACCATGGAAATGTTCACCCGCTGTTGGTGTAGGAGCTGGTGAGTCATCGAGGGGCATTCCTGTCCAACATTTGTCAAAATTTTCAGTGCAATCTTCTCCACTGATATCTGGCTTGAACTTTGGTTGCAACTCTCTCGACTCCAATTTCTTCCAGTTTACTGTTCGAAACCATTTATGGCTTTTAATATCATCACCACCTCTCGCTCCACTTCCCAATCTCATTAAAGGATCCTTTTGCAACAACTAAACAAAACAAATAGCAACATATTTTATTTGTATTATGAAAAATGTAGCCAACCCAATTATATTATTTATAGCTGCTTCACTTACTCCTTTGAGCAAAGAGTGAGCTTCACCACTTAATCGTGGTAAGAGCTTCACTTTTTCATTGATGATCTTCTCCTGAAGTTTCTTTCTGTTTGAATGAGTAAATGGTGGCTGAACATAATAACATCATTAACAAAAATATTCAGTTACAATCCAACTATATAAATAAAATAATAAATTTTTTACCTTCCCAGTTAGCATTTCATACAAGAGTATTCCAACACTCCACCAATCTGCATTTTTATTATGGCCTTTAGAAAGTAATATTTCAGGAGCCATGTATTCTGTGGTCCCACACATTGAGTTTGATCTGCTTGATTCGTCAATCTCCTTTGCCAGACCAAAATCGGTCAGCATAACCTGAACAATAAATAATAATTACTTTTTAATTTTTAAGGAAATTAATTAATGGAAATTAGAATTAGAATTAGTAGATACATGGCCATCAGCATCCATGAGTATGTTTTCAGGTTTAAGATCTCGGTGCACGATTCCATTCTGGTGAAGATGTGAAACAGCAGATACTATCTCAGCAGTATACACCCTTGCTTGATCCTCACTACCCAACATTCAAATTCAAATTCAACAACAGTTATTATTATTATTTTTTTTTATAAAAATTAAAGAGTAAATAAATTATTATAAACAAATAATCAATGTGTACCGGAAGATTCCTTGTCGGTATAAATGAAAGAAAAGATGGCCTCCGTTTATAAAATCCAGGATCAAATACAGCTTCGTTTTTGTCTGCAAGAAAAAGAAACCAGAAAATATAATTAATAAATTAACAAATGAAAAGGATCTGTTGGAATCGGAATTCAATTCCATTCCGGTTCCTGTGTTTGGTTGCAAATGAGTACGAAATTAACTTTTCTTAAAGTCACAGAATTCAATTCCAATCGTCCCTCACTTGTGTAAATGACTGATATACCCTTCCTTTATAGCTAGATGTCTTCTTTTTAAAACATGTGAAGCATATAAAACAAACAATAGTTTACGGAAAAAAAATCAATACCCGACAATTTTGTCATTTGTCGCTTTTTGCATTCTAAATTTTTTTGAGAGAATTATATACCAAAGAAAATATTATTAATCATGATGCTTAATTTTTTTAACTTTTCTAATGTGGTCATTTACAATTTCAATTCATGAAAATAAATAAGCATCACTTTTAGATAGAAGGGTAAAATTGGTTTTTTTTCATATTCAAACTGTTCATTCAGTCGAAAAAAGAAACAGACTTTTTTTATACAGCACTCATTCGGTCCTTATATCAAAGATTTAAAGTAATTTTTACATCATGAATGGGAAGAAGACACTTTATTAAGCTTCAAGTTTTCAGTTAAAGCTTAAAGTTGTGGGACATCTAGGGAACTTTTGTAATGAAGTGGGGGCGAATAAGGTCATTTGTGATCACATTTATCTTGAAAAGGGAATTACTGTACACAAAATAAAACCTATTGATGGCAAAAATGGACCAATGGTCATGAGTGTTTTGACTCAAACATTTACTACTCATTGCATGATTTGCATCTTTCCCTTCATAATTGAGACAAGCATCTTCCAATAGAACAAAAGCTTAATAAAGATTACCAAAACATCTTTTAAATAAAACAACCACGAGATGGAAAATGTCAAATGTGCTATTATGATGTCAAAGATTCAATGAAAAAAATCCTGAAAATAAGAACAAAAGTGAGTACCTGAAAAGAATAACGAAGCTGAACAATGAAAGGATGAACTACTTTAGTTAGTATATCCCTTTCAGCCTTCATATAATCGACATGGTTATTTTTTATGATTGTGTCCTTCCGCATAACTTTCATGGCGAATATCCCATCCCCAATCACAGCCTCGCCCTCACCATTAATCACGCTCCTATCCTTCCTTCTCACCTGAAATACCTTGCCAAAAGACCCTTTACCGATAACCCTCATTATTTCAAAATCCCCAGGCACGATCTTGTAATCCAGTCTACCCTTCCCTTCAACTTCATATTCCTCCTCTTTCTCGACTTTGATTAGATCTTCGTCTTCTCCGGAGCTCTCGAGATCAAACTCATGGTGAAAAGCAAGGGATTTGGAGAGGGTGTAACGAGGGGAAGGGCCAATGAAGGAGTGGGATCGATTGTGGATAATTTGGGGATCCCCTATGAAGAGGTTAGGGTTAGGATTAGGATTAGTTGAAGATGATGAATTAGGGCCAAATACATCGGCAAAATCGAAATCTTGATCAGTTGATGATGGCGGAATTGTGAGGTTATTGAGCTTGCTTGCTAGCATCGAGTGTAGGGTTTTCTTCTGCTGAGCTGTTGTTGAACCCATGTTCATGTTCATACTTATCGTGTTCGTGTGTGTGGGGATGATTTTTAGAGGAAGAATCCTGCCAAGAACTGATTCAAGGCGGGGTGGGAGACTTGGGATTACATTTTATAAACACGAGAATTTCTTACAGATCCAGAAGCGATATCGACGATGGAGATTGAGGATGATGAATAACAAGACGATAGTACTGCGATGCAATTGTGTAGCATAGAAGTAAGGTAGAATTTCTGCAAAATAAACAAAAGAGACAAAGTGTTACCCCTCTTGGATGATCTTCGAGAACTAGAGTTTAGAGTTTACACCATGGGGGATGGATTCTATCGATATCTAATATGGAAGGAAATATAAATAGTATAATACACCATTAATAGTAATACACCTTCTCGTAAAAGAATTTTCTGTTTCTGGTTGGGTTCATTTAATCGGATTTCTCAAAAAAGGTAGCTATTTTTGTTTTCTTTAGTCTTTTTAACTTATTCATTAAAACGATAATTAAATTAAATGATAATATGTTTTGAGAATGACAGAATGTACCTAAAAAAATTAAAATATCTCTACCTAATAGTACCTATATACAATCAAAGCGTTAAAAAAGTAAAAATTGTTATTGGTGTCCTTCAACGTGTGATACTTATAAGTTAAATAGTTGTGACATGACAAATTGATTACGCAAAACACGAAAAATCTATAATATTCGGTTGATATTATATTATTATGCGACAAATTTATTAGAACCAGATAGTTCCTCGGATAAGATGGCCACTATTACACTATTCCCACTGTCACTTGCCCACTGCAAAGTGCGAACCCCAAATATGAAATCCCCGCATCTTATCATCTTCCTCGTCATCTTCTTCATCAACGACTCGATCGCAGCTGACCCTGCTACCAGCATCATCTTCACTACACTCGGCCGATCAAGGTATGCCTTCGATATATTCTCCCTCCCAATTGACACCACCGGCACTGAAATCCAACTTACCGATGGCAACTCCGTCAATTTCAATGGCTACTTCGCCTCTTCCTTCAATGGGAATCCCATAACTAATCCTACCTTTGTTAACCCACAATCCACCCACCTCGTCTATGTCACTGAACGCAACGGATCATCCTCCATCTATCTGGACTCAATTTATCACTCTGGTGTGGACAGCACCAGAAAACGTTCGGTCCTTGAAGCTGAGTTAACTCGTTACCAACACCGTCTCGTGGGAGGCAGCGGCGGACGGATTTCGATGAAAGACAGGCCGAGTCTGGTGGGTGATTTCTTGGTATACGTGTCGACTCATGAGGAAACAGGTGTGGGTCGGACGAGTTGGGCTGCGGTTTACTCGACTCAGCTGTCAACCAAGGTAACTCGCCGGTTAACACCTCAAGGAGTAGCCGATTTCAGCCCCGCTGTGTCTCCGTCGGGTTTGTGGACGGCGGTGGCTTCTTCCGGAGAAAAAGGTTGGGGTGGGGAGGTGCAGGAACTCGATACGGATATATATGTTTTCTTGACTCAGGACGGGTCAAGACGAGTCAAGGTGGTGGAGCACGGTGGTTGGCCGAGTTGGTCAGATGAGTCGACATTGTTCTTCCACCGGCAGAGTGACGATGGGTGGTGGAGCATTTATATGGCGATTCTTCCAAAAAATAAGCCCTTCACGGTTAACTCGGTGACGACTCAACGAGTCACTCCACCGGGTCTTCACGCGTTCACCCCAGCTGCTTCAGTAACCAAGAAGAATATTATTGCAGTAGCAACCAGACGACCCGGTTCAGATTACCGTCATATAGAGCTATACGACATAGTTTCGGGCTCATTTAAGGACTTGACCCGATCAATTGCTCCACGGGCCAATCACTATAACCCATTTATATCACCGGATTCTTCCCGGGTCGGTTATCACAAATGTAGAGGGTCCGGAAGCAATAGAGAGATGATAAAGAATGACATGTTTCTTGAAAATATCCAAACCCGAAAACCCGGGATTTCCCTATTTCGGATCGACGGATCATTTCCTTCATTTTCACCCGATGGAAATCGAATCGCTTATGTACGTTTACCAGGTCTTTACGTGGTTAACAGTGACGGGTCGGGTCATCGAGAGATTGCCCCGGATATTACTGCATTTTCAACAGCCTGGAACCCCACGCTCAAAGGTGTGGTCTACACAAGCATCGGACCCACCTTTGCTAGTGAGGTCACAAACGTTGATATATTCGCAGTAGAAGTCGATAAAGATGAACCGACTTTTACAAAACTCACATTCGGTGGACAAAACAATGCGTTTCCATCGGTTTCACCCGATGGAAAATATATCGTTTTCAGGTCGGGTCGATTCGGCCATAAGAACTTGTACATCATGAATGCCCTTGAAGGTGAAAAAGGTGGTCTCACTCAATTGACCAATGGACCATGGTCTGACACAATGTGTAATTGGTCCCCAGATGGGGACCACATTGCATTTGCGTCAGACCGTCATAACCCTGGTTCGGGTAGTTTCGCGCTGTATATGGTCCACCCAAATGCGACTGGGCTCCGACAACTGATCCATAGTGGATCGTCTGGACGTACGAACCACCCATGGTTCAGTCCAGATGGAAAGTACATTGTATTCACTTCGGATTATGCGGGTGTTTCAGCAGAACCGATATCCAATCCACATCACTATCAACCGTATGGAGACATATTTACTATGAAATTGGATGGTTCGGAGTTGACCAGATTGACACATAACTCGTATGAAGATGGGACACCATGTTGGGGTCCTAAGTTTATGAAGCCGGAGAACATTGAGTGGCCAAAAGGTGAGGAAAAATGCTCGTTTGAGGATTGCACGTGGCTGGCGATAAGTAACTCGCATGATGGTGAAAAGATCCAATGTGGTGGTTAAGGAGTATTTAAATTACTTTTGTAGTAGATGTATCATGCACATATAATGTTTTTATTAGTACTCCTTTATACAATAAAAGGTTGTTTGAATTATCGGTATCGATTTGAATATAAAATGATGAATAACACAATATATCTTTCATATGGTTGATGATTCATCCACTAAGCTATTTATTAATATCAGTAATGACATGTATTAAAGCAACAATGTATTTTATTAGTTTAAAACTTGTAATAACAGTATACTTTCATTTATTCGAGTATTATAGCATTTTGTTTTCATTTTTTTCATTATGTAATTACGTTCATTTTTTTGTTATATAGGCATTGTACTCATAAAAAAGCTAACCAATAATAACATTGTAGTGTCTTTTATTTTATTTGAATAATCTATCATTACAGCAATGAAAATCACTTTGTATCTGGATGACATTGTTATAACTGTGTAAATTCTTCAAAAACAATATTGTAACAGGAAAATTTGAATGTAAGTTGTTATAATAAACAAATAAGTAAAAGTATGTTGCTCTTTCTTGCATTTAACTTTGTTTTTGCATCATTCTTTTTGACGTGTACTCGGGACTTAAAACATATGATCAAGAAATTTAGGGGATATTTTGTTCACATGAAATTTTTGGAAGTGATGAATATGTCAATGAAAGTGAAATATGAATGAATTGTAATCCTTCACACATTTGGTTGGAAGTAAGGAAATCAAATTTAATAATCTTTTAAAGTTTCACCTAAAATAAAATTTATTAATTTTATTTCGTTATATGTAATAAGGGTATTTTGGTTTTTTAATAGAAAAAGGAGAGAATGAAATTCCTTTTGCCCTCCTCAAGGAATGGTGATATCCATCAAAAAATGGAATTTATTTCAAATGAACATTAAAGTTGATAATTGCAAGCGATTCAACCTGGAGGGATAATACTCTAACTCTAGGCTATACGCTAGTGAAATGGAATATTACTCCAACAGCCATTCTAGGACAAGTAATGGATTCAAGGCTTAAATGTAAGAAGCAACAATGCATTTCCACAGATTTGTTTATTATAGCATCATATTTCCATTTCTCTTCCTATTACAGCATTGAGTTTTGATGAATCTATTCAATTATAGTAATTTAATCCAAATACAAAGCATTTTTCACCCTTATTATTGTATAGATTTCACCAGCACATTATCGCACATTATCTCAGTGAGAAAAAAATAATGAAAGTGAAATCTAGCTAGAATTTTTAAAGTAAAGTACATTGATAGCAAAAAAAAAAAAAAAAAAAAAAAAACTAAATGTAAAATGCTATTATAGAAAGAAATAAAAGTAGGATGCTATAATACACAAATAAAAGAACGTACATTTCTATTCTTGCATTTAGCCCAAAAATTTAAAGTGGAATGAGCCAAATACAGATTTAAATGATGATAGACATTCCAAGTATTTTGTTTCCCTCAATCCAAAAAAATGAAACATTTGACATAACATGTATTTTGACAATTCCTTTTACTTATGATTGTTGAAAGATATAAGCTAGGCAGGGGCAAATTGGTCAATAGATTTAGGAACAACATTTATTAAGTTAACAATTATGGCAGTTTCTCGTGTTTTGTCATTTGTCTTCAATGTTTCTCCAACAATAATCATACCTAATGAGTAGTCGTTTGAATAGGTAATGGGATTAGAATCTTACTATGAAAGGAAGTATTTCATTTTACACGGGATCAAGTAGAAGTTCATACAAAAGCGCATTTATATCATATATGATATATGCATTTATACCAATTGAATTTAGGGTTTGCAACTGCTAGAGACATGTTTCTAACATGCTAGGAGTTTCGAATGAGATTTAGTCGGTTTCTTCATTAAGTAACTAGTTTATAACCCGTGAGAACCACGGTTAAAAAATAAATTAAATTTTCATAGTAAAAATTCAAAAATTATTTGTCAATTATTTTAAATAAATCATTAATTAAGAGATATACCAAAATTTTAAAGTTATTATAACTTTAAACATAATATATAATTAGAAAAAATAAATTTGAATTTTGAAGTGTTGCCTAATATATCTCTTTGACATGTGGCATAATATTAAATTATTAATGAGGAGTTGTATTAGAATGACACATGTCAAATGGAGATTAAAACTATTCTTTTATTAGAATAAGGATTGGTAAATTGTGAAATTACAATTTTGTCCCTATTGGTTCCTGGATGGTATCTTTAAGGATTGGTAAATTGTGAAATTACAATTTTGTCCCTATTGGTTCCTGGATGGTATCTTGGGAACATTCAAAATATGGCACTCTGTTTTTGTATATAACGATGTTAAATGGATCCAGGTTTTTTAATTTTCAATTTCATTTATTTAGATGTTCTGTTTGCATATGTCTATTGACCAGACTTGCAAAAGTTAACTAAAATCATGCATTAAAAGACTGACGATGTGTTGCGTTTGTTGTTATGTCATTCCTTTCTTATGGTTAGATGTTAGATAACTTTGTAGAATTTATATTATTATAACATATAATAAGGGCTAGTTATACTACAAATTGAATTGAATTACTCTTTGGCTATATATCATATTTTCATTAGTTTGGTAACTAGAATCTTCTTCAATATAGTTATCTTATTGGAAAACGTTTACTATTTGAATAAAATATGTTGTTTTTTACCATGGAAATGAATAAGTGGTCAAATACCTGTAGCTTTTTTTTTTTTTTTTTTTTTTTTTTTTTTATTTTATATGTAGATTGTAGACCAGAAGTTTGTAGGCAAAGAAAATGTTTGTTTTTTAATAACAGTTTTTTTGTAAAAGCTATTTTAGCTTTTGCTCAAAAACACATTAAGAAAGGTTTAGCCTATTCCACAATGTGTCTGAGATGGGTTATATGATGTTAGGTCATCCGTTATACCCACCACTAATCACTATAGTGGTGAGTGCTACATCATCACCACACTCCCTACCATTAATCATGTGATACCTACCAATAATCACACCATTCCACCTCATTTTTTTTAATTAAATTTAAATAAAAAATACATAAAAATCATATAATTGTTTTTAAATACTAGTTTTCATTAATTTAAAATACCAAATTTCATTAACTAAAATAAAAAAATAAAAATAACATTAGAAATAAAAATTACAATAAAAATAAAAAGAATAAAAATAAAATTAGAAATAAAAATTACATTAATTAAAATAAAAAAATAAAAATAACATTAGAAATAAAAAAACTAAAATTACCAAGCTTAACTAAAAAAACTATCCCTTATTCCTACGTCGGACTCGAACGGATTCCTTCATCGCGAGAAATAGCTCCAAATCTTCGCCTTCGAGGTCGTCCGCTTTCATTTTCAAAATTTCCATATCGGTTTTTGTTTGAATCACCGATTGTGTTTCTATCATTTTTTGTTCTACCCGACTCAACATCTCCGCCTTCGTTTCTTGAACGTGCACATAACGATCAAAATTCTCTCCAAATTGATCCATAACACTAGATCCCGAAGACGTTGAAGCCGCTTATTTTGCTTTATTTCTTCCAACGGGTCGACGAAGAGGTTGCTCGTCTTCAAGATCGAGTGGTTCGTCGTTGATGTCTGTAACATCCCGACTCCCAGGCATAATATTTAATTATATTATATTCATTTTGTCAGGGTAACTCGACGAGTTAGAGGCTCCAACTCGCCGAGTAGAGATGGAGATACCCGCGTGATTTTTAGAGTCTACTCGACGAGTTGGAGGACCCCAACTCGACGAGTAGGAACTGAGTGTGAAAACCCTAATTTTCAGGGTTTGTGCCCTATTTAAAGGACCTTAAGCCTTTCATTCTGCCTCCTTTATCACTTTAGCACCCTGAGAGAAACCTTAAACGAGCTGGTATCATATGTGAGAGAGAGAGAGGCTAAAAGTGTGTGATTTGGTGCATTCTTGGAAGGAGATAGAAGAGCAAAAGGCTTGGAACGAGAAGAAGCCCTTGGATCCAGTACTCTTTCAGTGCTAGCTGCTATTTGGAGGTAAAAAGCTATCACCTTGATCATTGTTTGGTTAGATCTTTTCACTAGGGAGTTTGTGGCCATTTCCATCTCCTCTTTGAGTCTTTAAGTCGTTTGAGCATGACATGAAGTTGAAACTTTAGATCTGGACAGTATGAGGTCCCTTGGGCCAAAAGATTCAAGATTTATCAAGCTATTGGCCAAGTTTCATACATTAAACCCTCTATAGAGCATTGTTTTGGCATTTTGAGCCCTAGGTGCCATGCATGGACATAAAGCTTGCAGCTTTACGTGATACTTCAGCCTTAGAAGGCTAGATCTAGAGTATGGGGCCTTAGTTATGCTTAAAATCATCTGATTGAGAAAATAGACTGAAGGGACTCGACGAGTTGATGAGCCAACTCGACGAGTCGGTTAGGGTTTTCCCCATAGTCTGGACACGTGCAAACTCGACGACTTGATGAGACAACTCGGCGAGTTGAGTTGGAGTTTTCCCGATTTTCCGAGAACAGGAGGAACTCGACGAGTCGTATAGATGCACTCGACGAGTTGGGTCAACATGGACTGTTGACTCGAGTGTTGATTTCTGTTGACTTTTAGGGTTTGGTCAAGTGATGGATATGGAGACCATGGATGGGTAAAATGGTCTTTCACCCTTTCCTGGAGTTAGAAAAGGGATTAGCTTAACATCTTTAGTGTGGTTGTTATAAAGTGTTAATTAGAGATGATTATGACATGTAGGCGGAGTCTAGACCGATCGTGGAATACGATACATACTTGTTTTGCTTACGAGGTGAGTCTTCTCACTATACTTACCTGAGTGGTAATACTGTATGACCAGAGGGTCTTATTTGAGTTATTGACCGGAAGGTCTTATTTGAGTTACTGACCGGAGGGTCTTATGTGTGCTTATACTTAGTTATGTGATATCATGCATTTTGTCTTTGTGATTTATGATGTATATTATTTCTGTGCTTTATTGAGTTAGGACCGGAGGGTCCAAA